GAGCCTTATTTTGAGTTTTTGCGACCTCTGCTTTCACAGGTCGCTGACAACACCGATGCTTCTTGGTGGCTTCTTGACTCTGGTGCATCCACAAGTGTTTTGGCTGAGTCGAACTTGTCAGCCTTCAGGTCAGTGCTGCAGGACAGTGAGGGGTTAGGTGGCTACAAAGCTGCCAATGGATCCTCAGTCAACATGTCAGGCACTGCTGAGATTGGAGTACAGATGCACATGTCAGGCACATCAGGTGATGATTGGTGTTGGAAGAAAGCACGTTTGAATGTTTTGGTGGGTTCCATCCGGCACAACATTTTGTCAATCTCTTCATTGGCAGATTCGGGATGGAGATTCACACAAGGTCCAAAAGGTTTTGATTTGTTTCATGAGAAGCTTGGAATGCATTGTCTTGATGTTGCTTATTTTGCCAATTGTCCTTGGGTTCGTTTGTATCCAGATTTTGGTAGTAGTAGTGCATATAGGTCTGACTTGACTGTGAGTAACACTCATGACTTTTCTGTCGCAGCTGTGTCTGGAGGAGACGACAGTGAACTAGCACGTCACCGGAGACAGGGACATATTCCATTCAATCCGAATTGCTTGGAGTGTGCCAAGGGTCGTTCCGTTTTTCAGCACAGAAGAGATAAAGGTGACAGGAAAGAGGTTTCTATTCAGGCCGATTTTGCATTCCTCAAGACATCAGGCGAGATCGCCGCAGACGAACTCCCAGGTTCGGTGAAGACCCTTGTGTTAACTGAGATGATGTCGAGGTGCATTGGCTATGTGGTGGTTGGAGAAGATGTCGAAGCAACCAGGAGACAGATTGTTGTATGGCTTCAACATTTTGGGTTGACTTCGAAGGCAGTCTCCATTGATGTCCACACCGATAGCGAGAGGGCCGTGGGAGAGATCATTGGAACCTCCACTGGCCGATGCACGTTCGCTATTCGGAGAGCCGCGCCACAACAACATCGATCAATTGGGTCGGCTGAACGAGCAGTTAGGGAATTAAAAGAATCCTTTTCTGTACTAAGAGCTGATCTGAATGCACAAGGGTTGGATGTCACGTTGTCACATGAGAATTTGGTTGATGTTTTGACGTATTTGGCTTTGTGCAACAACCATTTTTCGACATCACGAGGTTCAGACAGAAGTCCATTGGAAATGGTTTCAGGAAGGAAGTTATCCAAACCAGTTTCGACTTTGTTTGGTGCTCAGGTTTTGGCAGAAATTCCTGATTCAATTCGGCAGCATTCACCACTTTCAACAAGGAATGTTGAGTGCACCTTCATTCACATGGGATTGGAACGAGGTCCAGTTGTGCAAGGTTTCATTCGTGTGGATGGCAAAGCTGAGTTGATGCGTTTTGTAGCTAGGAACATCAGGGCTATTTCACCTTTGAGATGGGATTTGAATTCGGGACAGGGTGTTTTGACTCAATTTGACACTGGGACTGTAGGTAGTAGACCCCAAATTGTGAATGACAGTGGGACTGCACCAGCTGACATGAGTCAGCTACCTCCTGAAGAGTTGCGAAAGTTGAAAGGTCAGAGTTTGCCGGCACCGTCACAGCCCAAACTTGTCTTGCCAGAGTCCAGCAGTGTGAGGAAGAAATCTGGTGAGTTGAGTTTGGCGCCAGCAGTGCCATTGGCAAGATCGAACGTTGTCGTGACTCCACAGGAAGTTCCAGCAGAGCCGTCTCGAGTTTCTGTCACTCCATCTCCTACGTCACCAGCAGATACTGCAGATGTAGCTATTGGTAGTCCTGAGAGTTCTGAAAGAACTTCACCTGTCACCTGACGTATCACGTTTTGAACCGACTCGTCGATGTCCAGCATGTGAGAGTGGCATGGAAGCACCTGGTATTAGGCACAACAAGGAATGTAGGAAGCGTTTTGCTGAGTTTGAGGAACAAGCTTCATAGGGCGCGCCCGTGAGTCTATACGGTGCTATGTGTTGGGTGGGTGGGTGGGGACTTTGTGCGTGTAGACGCTTTCTTCGTGGGATGTGGCAACTGCGTTTGTAGCGATTGGGTTCACAAACTACAAACACAAACACTTAAACTTTTGGTGCTGTTTATTTCTGTCATGTTGCTCTGGGATTTCCTGCAACTGTTTCAGTTTTGGTACTGGGACTACAATACAATACGTTGACTTTACAGGCTTACTGGAAGATGACTTTTGGAAGTTCACTTTTGGATATCAGATTTACAACACTTTGAATCTGCTGGAATGTTGCTGGTCAGTTCGTTTTCTGTCAGATGTCGATTTGACACTGGAACTCAATACATATTTTCGAGGAGCGCAGGCTCACAGATTTGAAGTTAGGTAGGGGCGCGTTGCTTCCAACCTGAGTTGGACGGTGGGGCCCATGCAATGGCATTGGATTGGCCGGAGGTAGGACAGGACTTCCTTATTTGTTTTCAGAAACATTTCAAGTCGCCATTGCATCTTGACGCTGCTTTTGATCTTGATTTGGATGCTGCGGAGTTGATACAGTCAATTTTTCCAGACATGGTGGCTGAAGAAGTCATGAATCAGGTTGCAATTCTGATGTTGTGGAAGGACAACAATTTTAGATCTAGCAAACGTGCCAGACTGGAAGTTGTGGAGCGGGCCCTTTATTTGCCCTTACAACCTGCTGGGAGCTCAGTTCAAGAGGTTTACAAGAAGCTGGTTCAGACCAACGTTGTTTCATTGATTGAAGCACACACCAAGAAACGTCAGAAGGTGTTCAGACAAGACGCAGAGTCCCGTTCGAAGCGTGCAGACGCCGAGCGGAAGAAATACACTTTACTGTTGGCACAGGTCATCATCGATGCTGAGTTACCTGTTGTTTCTTTGATTCAGACTCTCGACAATCCACAACAAGGTTGGATTCATCTGTTTGGGACTCGGAGGTGCAACACCTTGAAGAACCGCTACAAGGCCTGGAGGCCCTTTGCAGTTTGGTTGGAGCTTCATTTTGGAAGAAAGTTTCCAGTGCAGTTGAAAGACATCATTGATTACATGCAGCATCGAGTCAGTGAAGGTTGCGGCAAGACTGTTCCTGAGAGTTTTCATATCTCACTGTGCTTGATTGAACAGTTGGGGCGTGTTCCTGAGGGGGAGCGGTTATCAGAAGAACAGCTTTGGATTTCACACATCAAAGCTTGGGGTGCGGAACTGGCAGAGGATGCTCCGCCTGTCAAGCCTGCTGAGATGTATACAGTTGCAATGATCCTTTCGCTTGAGCTGGTGGTTTCAGATGAGTCACAGCGCATTTTTGCCAGGGCTTTGGCATGGGTCGTTTTAGTGATGGTTTGGGGCTCAATGAGGTGCGATGACATGCAGTCTGTTTTGGCGCACAGGTCGACGTTGTCCAATTATGGGCTCCGTTTGGTGCTGGGGAAATCCAAGACTTCTGGGCCAGACAAGATTCAGAAGGAGGTGTCGGTGCATGTGTATCGAACAGTCTCTCTTTCTGGTGAAGATTGGTTGGGCATCGGTTACAGGATCTGGGAGTCGGAGCTGTTCAATTTCCGAAGGGATTACTTTGTGATGGAACCATCTTCAAATTGGGAATCTGTGAAACGGAAGTTTGTCCCCCCATCTGGTTTGAGTTCTTTGATTGGCAAACTGCTGAGTGACCTGCCTGTCCCAAAGAAGCATTTGGACGGTTGGGTGATGAATGCGGGGGCACTTCTCCTGCCTGATGGGTTGGAGAGTCATTTCACTGGCCATAGCCCTCGTAATTTCTTGACTTCAGTTGCAGCTGCAATTGGATTCCATCGGGATCAGCGTGCCTACTTGGGCCGCTGGGCAATGGGAATGGTGGCATCGGAGGAGTATGTGAGGACTTCCAGACAGGTGGTGTTCACAATTCAGAAAGCAGTCAACAAAGCAATTGTTACGGGTCTTGATCAGGAGTATTTTGAAGATGAAGCCATTGACAGGCTTTGCAAGTCGGCAGAAGATTCAGGAGCAAACCGGAACAGGATCAGGAAGAGGCACATGGTCTCTTCGAACTTGTCTGGCAGGTACAGTCTTGGTGGGGTTTTCCCAACACTGGAGGTGCTGCCAGACGACTGGTTTGAGGTCGGAGACAATGAAGCTGATGAGTCGACCCTTGATGCGAACATTCAGGACCAAAAGGCACGTGCTGAAGCGGCGGACAAGACCGTTGCAAAATTCTTTGTGACAATTTCGAGACGCACAGCTTTTCGTCGTCTCCACCTCACGGGTTGTTTTGTCAAGCCCTCCAATTGCACGGAAGTGCGCATGCTGGATGAGGTGGGAAATGAAGATTTCGATTCCATTTGCAGAGCATGCAAGAGGAAGATGTTGGCTGAGAATGGGAAGGACGATAGCGTTGAGTCCAGTTCCACGGCTTCCTCTTCATCAACAGCCAGCGCGGCTGAAGGGGCAGTTGTGGGTACTTAGCTGTGGCTGAGTTCTGGAAGTTTCCCCCTCTTCTCATTTGCTTTCCAAGCTTGGTGATGGGCACAGTTCCACCAGTGTGCATTTCATGACAACAGGTCAGCGAGAAAAGGGGTTCTTGGCGTTTTGACGCATGTGGTTTGTCCAAGTGTCGCAGTGACCATTTGATTTTCACTTGTTTGAGTTTGTGCGGTGATTTCATTGAGCTGAGGCTTCTTTTTGTTCAGACAATCTTCACTTGTGATTTCAGCTTGTCATTTGTGAATTCTGGCTTTAGACCTCAGGGTGAAATGCGACAACTGAAGGGCAGACTTGATTCAGATCATGTTTTGAAGGTGGCTCAGACCATAGGGTGCCACCTGTCAAACGTTTAGACGTTGACAGACTGGTTCATTTGCATTTCCAGTTGCTTTGATTTCACTTGACGTTTAGGCGTTGGCAGATTGTTTCAGTGTGCATTTCTTGGTTGTTTTGATTTCACTTGGTGTTTTGGTTTGTCTCTTTAACTCTCGGCAGTGCAGCAATGGCTGGTGACCCAGATCAAGATGACAGGGATTTCATTGCTGAAAACATGGATGCAGACCTTCAATTCATTTTGAGTGAGAGTGGAGTTTCGTTGCATCGCCAGGCGGCAATTGCCAGGCGTTATGGATCACTTAAGAAGTTCAATGCAATTGGAGACGATCGTGCGCAGCTGAGAGTTGCTTGTTTACAAGATTTTGCCATCCCTCAGGACACTCCTGATAACAGGGCAGAGGTTGCAGCGATTGTTGCGGCCTGGGAGACAGCAAAGGAGTTTGTTTCCAAAGAAGTTGAATTACGGGCTGAGGCAAAGGTACTAGGTAAACCAAAGATCTTGCAGTCTCACGAGCGACAGTCAATGATTCGTGCTGTGGAAAGGATTCATGGGACTTTGGGCGAGTCTGAGACGCCGAGCTCAGATTACCTTGCGTTGAAGGCTGAGGAGACGGAGCTGAACGAGCCATCGGCATCGCCCTTGGATGAGATCATTAGCAAGCGTGACAATGCAAGTTCCACAATTCAGTCTTCTGTTGACACTTCAGGGCACTTGAGGGTGACTAGGACGAAGAACAAAGCGAAGATGCCTAGCAATACAGAAGAGTATCGAAAGGTCATGAGGGTCGAGATGTTTGCTTGGTTGTGCATGTCAGCACGGTACAGGGCGAAGAATTGGCTTCATGGATTGGAGGCGTCTGACTTATTGATACCTTCGTGCAGTGCAAATACATTTGCCATCCAGCAATGCCATTTTGGCGCACTTACACCCAAGCCCACCAGATTCCTGTCTACGTTTGAGTTTCAGGATGACAGGTGCCATTTTGGACTGCCTCGTCTGGACAAGCTTGGGGCGTACAAAGGTCCCCTTCCAAAATCATGCGGCCACTACCACCAACACAAGCTTTTGGGGAAGACTGCAAATAAGTGGAATACAAGCCCGAGCGCATCATACCCGCCGGGGCTCTGCCGATTTTTGGCTGAGTTGGTCCTCAATGCAATAGCATCCTGCGGAAGGGGGAAGTCGAACCAACCCCAGCAAGTTGTTGGGACATCTGGAGAACAAGGTTCTGGTAAGGGAGGAAGTTCCTCTAGCAAGGGTTCAAGTTTTGAGCAGAGTTCTGGCAAAGGAGGAAGTTCCTCCAACAAGGGTTCAAGTTTTGAGCAGAACAACACAGCGACCACAACTTGCAGAGGAAGTTCCTCTGCTTCACTTGGTGCGGTTTCAAAGAGTTGCACGGTTGCTTTCACTGGTTCACTGGAGGGCGCTTCAAAGAGTTGCACAGTTGATTTGACTGGTGAGGACTCCAAGGTTGGGGAGTTAGATGCAAATGAGGATGTTGATGAGGGCTTTGACATGGAAGCATGTTGCAACTTTGGCCCTCCCATCAAAGTGGAATGGGATGGCAAGACTCATGACTTTGTGGATGGATTTGGAATGTGCTCACCTACCAGGTGGGCTCCGCAGTCTAGGGGCCACAACAGGAAGCCACACATGAAAGCTCTTGCAGCCGAGACTTACAAACGTTTACATGCTGCGGTGATAGATGCAATCAAGGATGTCAGACGGGAGGCCTTCAAGTTGGTCACAGGGAAACTCCAGGCTTCCCCTTTTTCCCCAGAGTTGCTCCACAAAGTCAGGTCCCAGGTGGCATCACTTTTGAGGGACCCCACTGAAGCGATGGTAGTGGATACTGGGCAGCCCTTCTTATTGCGGCTCTTGTCACAATGGCTGGAAGTTTTCGAAGACCCTGATGTGGCCTGCCTGGTTAACACAACAGATTCATTTGCCACTGGGGTGAATGTTGGGGTGGATGATCCTTTGCCAAGAACACCGCAGGTTTTCCCGCCGAAGGTGAAGCACCGAAAGTTGGATGGGACGGAGTTCAACCCCATTGCTGACAATTACATTTCAGGACAATTGTCGGCCAAGGAGTTGGAAGATAAGTTCAGGGAAGAGGAGACACTTGGGCGTATGGAGCCTTCTAAGATGTCTGTTTTGAAGGCTCGTCACGGTGAGCGATTGCGTGTGGCGGCAATGGCAGCAATTAGCAAGCCTGATGGTGGTGTCAGGCCCCTTCACGATGCTACTCATTCTGTGATGGTTAACCATGCAATCAAATACAGGGATCAGTTGCAGTGCCCGGGACCAGCAGAAGTTGCTGCTGTGGTAAGAGAGGCGGTGGAGACCCGGGAGGCTGTGTTTTGCGTTTCGGCCGACATTAAAGCGGCACATCGTTTGGTGAAACTGAGGGAAGAAGATTGGCCCTATGTGTGCTGCCGTGCCGATTCCCTATCAGAGGTGGTTTGGATCAACAAGGTGGGAACATTTGGAGTGTCGAGTGCCCCTTACTGGTGGTCGAAGCTTTTTGCTCTTATTGGACGTTTTGTTGGACATGTGATGCAAACCGCAGCTTATTGGCATTTGGTTTATGTTGATGATTTGCATGGAGCGTTTACGGGCTCCCGCAAGTTTGAGCTGTTATGGGTATGGCTGTTGGCTTTCGAGGTCATTGGAACCCCCTTCGGTTACCACAAGTTCAAAGGTGGTTTCTCATCAGACTTTGTGGGTTTCCATCTGCGTTATGACAAGAATGAAGTTGGGATCACTGAGAAAAGGGGGTCATGGCTTCTCAACTGGATTCGTGCGTTGGAGGAGAAGCGGTATGTTGTGCCAGCAAGGGAGTTCAGTGAATTCCTGGGCAGGTTGGGGTTCGTGGCACAGCTTCTGACGTGGCTCAAGCCACACTTGTCGCCATTGTTTGCATGGAGCGCTGTTGCATCACCTGGCATGGTTGGGAGGTTGCCGGATACTGTCATTTTGACATTACAATACATTGCAGCTGAGATGTCCGGTGAAACCTTCTTAATTTCTGCAAAGAGACCTGTCTATTACAACGCTGAGCAATTCAGGACTGACGCGAAGTGCACCCATGACATTATAGTTTTGGGAGGTTGGGAGTTGGAGTCTCGACGTTGGTTTTCTTTGAAGCTTGATAGGACACAGGTTCCCTATCTATTCAAACCTGATGGAGGCGGCGCCCAATGGGCGTCGACCTCAGCGGAGCTCTTAGCTTCGCTTTGCGCCCTGGTTGCATTTGGCTGGCTTCTCCCTACGTCAGCGAGGCGTACAGTCGCCTTGGCTCTCTCTGCAGGTACTGATAACATGGCCAATGAGTTTTTGAGTTCAAAGAGAGCCACAACGAAATGGCCCCTCATGTTGATCAATATGCAGTTATCAGCGCTGTTGGCCAGGGCAAGGCTGAGCTTGAATTTGAAGTGGCGCCCACGGGAAGAGAACGTGGAAGCAGATCAGCTGACGAATGAGCAGTTCGAGAGTTTTTCTTTGGAAGCCAGGGTTCATGTGAAATTTGAGAGGATTTGGACCTTTCTTTGGTTGAGGCGTTGTGGAGGACGAAGTCCCAATTTGATGCTGCGAGACAAGAGGCAAAGACTCTCGACAAGCAGGCAGCACCAGATAAGAAGAGAAAGTATGATAAGACACCGTGGTGATGGGTGCGGCAACAAATCGTCGCTAAAGAAGGGGAGGCTACGTTCGACACATTGTTGGCCACACCCTTTGACTTGCTGCACAATACTGTTGGAGCGGTCCGACAGTTTCAGGCGCTCTGGCGACAGCGAAGGTGTCAAGCCAGGACAGCGCAGGACATCACCACCGTTTGAAAAAGGGGAGATGTGCGTTTCAACTGAGAGTTCATTTGGCAGAGTTCAGTCGTTGAGTCATTACAGGGTTTTCAGTACATGTGCAGTTTTCAGTTGTGCTTGGTTTTCTCTCCCCGATTTCTCGTGTGAAACAATGTTGGATGTTGTTATTTTCTCTTTTGGCACGCGGTCCTGCGTCTCCCTCACCTCCTTAACACATTGCATAGTGTAGGCTTCATAGGGCGCGCCCGTGAGTCTATACGGTGCTATGTGTTGGGTGGGTGGGTGGGGACTTTGTGCGTGTAGACGCTTTCTTCGTGGGATGTGGCAACTGCGTTTGTAGCGATTGGGTTCACAAACTACAAACACAAACACTTAAACTTTTGGTGCTGTTTATTTCTGTCATGTTGCTCTGGGATTTCCTGCAACTGTTTCAGTTTTGGTACTGGGACTACAATACAATACGTTGACTTTACAGGCTTACTGGAAGATGACTTTTGGAAGTTCACTTTTGGATATCAGATTTACAACACTTTGAATCTGCTGGAATGTTGCTGGTCAGTTCGTTTTCTGTCAGATGTCGATTTGACACTGGAACTCAATACATATTTTCGAGGAGCGCAGGCTCACAGATTTGAAGTTACCCACCCTCCCAGACCCTGATTTGGGTTTGTGGAGGGTGATTCCTGCACTACAGTGGCTTTACACCTTTTCAATTTGGGGGGGAGGCTACGTTCGACACATTGTTGGCCACACCCTTTGACTTGCTGCACAATACTGTTGGAGCGGTCCGACAGTTTCAGGCGCTCTGGCGACAGCGAAGGTGTCAAGCCAGGACAGCGCAGGACATCACCACCGTTTGAAAAAGGGGAGATGTGCGTTTCAACTGAGAGTTCATTTGGCAGAGTTCAGTCGTTGAGTCATTACAGGTTTTTCAGTACATGTGCAGTTTTCAGTTGTGCTTGGTTTTCTCTCCCCGATTTCTCGTGTGAAACAATGTTGGATGTTGTTATTTTCTCTTTTGGCACGCGGTCCTGCGTCTCCCTCACCTCCTTAACACATTGCATAGTGTAGCGGAGAAAGGAAAGACGTGTTGAACCTGCACTCTCTCAGGAGAGCCCTGTTGTCGTACCCCAGGTTCAGGTGCCAGTAGAAGAGGTCGATGATGAAGAATTGGTACCAACACCTGAGTCCGCTCGGCGACAGCCGGAAACACAGGTTGAGTACACTAGAAGGTTTAAAAGGAAAGCTGAGACCGACCGAGAACAGTTGGAAAGAGAGATCCGTGAAGATTCTGAGGAACTGCTTCAAACAAACATGGATTTTGATTGGTTTTGGGTTGGTAGTGGAACCTGTGTTGGTTGCGAGTTTGGGTACACTTGAAGGTCCAGCGTCTTTTGCTCCGGCAACATCTCCAGAAATGTTTTCTGGTTCTCTTGATTCTGTTTGTTTCAATCGAGGCAATGAGCATGATTTTGTGAAGATGAGTCTTGGAGGTCAAGATGTCTTGGTTTGGAAACCGGACAGCATCATAGATGACCAGAGTTTGCAAGAGCTTGATTTGGAACAAGGTTTCAAAGGTATGCAAGAGGAGGTTAGGAACTTGGAACACTGCAAGACTGGCCGCATCATCACCCAGTCAGAACTGGACGACATGAAGAAGGCTGTTCCGAACCTTCGTTTGATCCAGTCAAGGTGGGTTGCAGCTTACAAAAACAGTGAGAGGGTTCGAACCAGGATTGTTGCGAAGGACTTCAATCGTGGCTCCTCAGCTAGATCTTTGGGATTTAGTAGTCCTACCCCTTCGATTGAAAGTGTTCATTTGGTGCTTGCAATGGCAGCGACACGGGAGATGCTTTTGCGTGCATTGGACGTGAGTCATGCCTTCATGCATAGCCCATTGGGAACTGGTGTACATGTTGTCTTGAAAATGCCGTTGTCGATTAGCTTTCCATCAGGTGAAGCGACCTACTATCTGCTTGAAAAGGCATTGAACGGGTTACGTGATGCTTCACTGGCATGGTTGCAGCTGTTGGCTTTTACGGTTGAACATGTAGGCCTTTGGTCTGATTCGTTGGAACCATGTGTGTATGGTGGACAGATTGTGAAAGATGGTCATGAAATTGGATTTTGCTTGTGTGTAGTGTACGTTGATGACATTCTGTTGTTGTCGACCACTAAGGAAGCCGAAGAACATGTGGTTGCAACTTTGTCGTCTGTAGTGCCTGTGAAGACAACTGGAGAGATCGGAGAAGAGGGAGGATCCCTGACCTTTATTGGTCGTGTCATCAAAAGAGAAAGAGATTCCTCTGAGATCACTCTGGGTGTTGATCCACATTATCTTGACTACGTTTCTGGATTATGGCGTTACCCGTGGGTCTGAGAATGTGCCTGACATTTCGGGACATCTTGAGAAGACACTCACGGATAGCAACTTTCAGAAACCTTTGTCAGATGAAGCATACTCACGCTTCAGAAAGGCGTTAGGAAAATTGCTTTGGTTGTCACAGGTGCGTCATGACTTGAAGACATGGATGTCTGTTCTTGGGACGCAGCAAGCGAAACCGATGCACGGAACTGAACAAGCATTGAAAGCAGTCTTGAGATTCTTGTATGTTGACATGCATGCATGCTTGTGTCTACCGAGCAGAGATGAGACCATCATGAGTCAAGTTGACGATACTCAACTGAGATCAGTCCATCTCCACTCTTTCAGCGACGCTTCACATGCACCGTACCGTTTCAACAACCGCAAAGGTGTTAGCGGTGGAGCTGTTTTCTTTGAGAGGTCTTTGGTAAGGTCTCTGAGCCGACAGCAACAAGCTTTGAGCTTGAGTTCATGTGAGGCAGAGCTCTATGGTTTGCAATCAGTGTGTCAAGAAAGTGTTGCGTTTGGAAGACTGGTTCACCGTCTTCTGTTTGCACTTCATGAGATCGATGAGCCAGAAGAAGTTGTGATTTGGCGGAGAGCGATTCAAGCTCCGCATTGCAACTTGTGAGATCCATGGACGTGCCACGACGTTCACGACACATTGAAATAAGATTGCATTGGTTACGAGAGCAGATGAGAGAGGGTTTGTTGAAATTGAGACACAGAAGTGGTGTTGAAAATCCAGCAGATCTTTTCACCAAATGCTTGAGTGCTAAAGCTTTCTATAAACACCGATATGCTCTTGGGATTGTTGTTCCAGATGGTTTGACAGCTGAGTTGGCAGAACTTCGTGAGCTGAGTGTGTTGCAGCAAGTGTTGACTCAGGGTTCTTCAATTGCGATTGTGGAACTGTGTTGTTCGGAACATTCGAACTTGAGAAAGGTCTGTGAAGTTTCGAAGGTCCCATACATTGGTGTAGTTGCTAAGGTGCAGAGTTCTGGAACGTTGAGTCGTGTAACTGTTTGCATTCGACAGTGGAAGAATTCGTCATGTCCACCTTGGGTGCATATTCATGCATCGACTCCTTGTGGAAGTGGAAGTCCGCTTCGCAATTTTAATCCGGACTCAGTCACTGAAAAGGACCAGGAATGGGATGAGATCATCAACGCGATTGGTGGTTACTTCAAACATGCAGACTCATGTTCGTTTGAGCTTCCAGAACGAAATACCATTTGGTCCCGGCCTGAGACAGTGAATCTTTTGGAGAGTTTTGACATGAGGCATGAGGCTTTGGTGAGATTGTGCAAGACTGGATGTCAGAACAAGGATGGTATTCCGATTGGAAAGACATTGAAGTTTGTTTCCAATTCAGCCTGGTTTGTATTAAATCTCCACTCCAAACTTTCTACATGCACATGTCAGACACATGCAGAACTTTATCAAATCAACTATACTGAAACAGCGTTTTACAACCGAAAGTTGGCAAGATACATTTTGATTGCAGTCAAACATGCTTCGAAGAAGAGTTGAATTTGCGTTTAAAAGGGGGACCCTGTGGCTGTGAGAGAGAGACAGAAGTTGGATCCACGTTTCGTTTCATTTTCTGTTTGCACGTTGTTTTCAAACAAACGTTGCCAAAGACAAACAGGAGTTTTCACCATGTTTCATTTTGTGCAGAGTTTTGTTGCGCGATACTGTAAGATGCAGTGTGTGTGCGCAGCGCAGAACAATCTGGAAGGTTACTGATCCTATCACGACTGTGATGGCGGTTCGACACTTCGTTTCACGTTCTAAGTTGATTGCTCCTAAGAGTTTAGCCACGGTCTAGTGCTTTTTCACTACCGGACGCGGTTTGGTTTGTAGCCATGGCCAAGTCTGGATGGACAGATGAAGATGAGAAGGCTTTGCTTGGTCTTCTTCAGAAGAAGTGGCACAGTGAGAATTCAGGGTCAGGCTATGCAGCCGGATCCAGTATTTTGACTCCTTTGGAGAGTCAAGGAGCAATGACAGATGGAAGCAAGCGACTTCGTGAGGCTCTGGATGATGATGAATTCGATGTGATTTCTTCGGCAGCTGAACCTTTGAGTGCGCAGTTGCCTGTGATGCCTATCCCAATCTTTCCTGGGATCGCCGACAAGGTCCTTGATCAGCTTACTGCTGATTTGGTGCCTGAAGGCATGAGTTTTCGAGATTGGAGCAGAACGAAGTTTGCGTTTGGAAAGTTTGCCAATGAAGGCAAAACATACCGTGAGGTATATGTCGATGATGAGATGGCCGGATATTGCAAATGGAGTATGTGTCACCTGGGAAACAAGAGTACGAGTCCAATTGCAAAGGATTGGTATTCTTTTCTCTGCGCATGCAAGGTTGTGGAGGACTCTGGAAAGGTTGGAAAGCCAAAGGGTTGCTTCACTGGAACTTCAGTGCAGAGGCAGCTGGGTGATTGAGAGTATCCTCATTGGTGCAAAGGCGAGGAAAG